TTCAATGCTCATTGATGTCGTGAGCTTGCTATTAGGATATTTACCAAATATCTTAAAGAAATCATTTTGTCAGTCTAATTTTATTGGTCCATATTTATGGTCGTCCTAAACTATCAAGTTCACATAATTTTAAATGTTGTTTCCTATTGGTTAGTATTCACGGTTGACCTAACTGTATAAATAAGCAATGTCTGTAAAGTTTTATGCTCCTCTTCTTCTTCTGTACAAAACCTCATATCTTCTGGGTGCTTTTAGAATACACTTTCTCCACCATACCGTTAGTGGGGCTTGGGACGCTCGGATTAGAGTAGTCTATCGTGTCATTAGATCATTTGTCTCAGCTCTCGTTTACCGACGAAGGTGAACTCGTAATAGCTGCAAGCATATCAGTTGAAGAGCATAACACTTCCACAACTGAAGATTCTCATTAATTGTCTAACTATGGTCAGTTAGTTATGTGGGCTATTAAAATTCAACAGTGTACACAATATTCTTATACTTATCATCAAAACTAACCACAACTGTTTAAAAACTGTAAATATTCATCTTTTCAACATTTAAATGCGATTTCTCAGTGAAAAAGCTTAGCAAATGTTCATATCAAATGTGGAACTTGCGATGTAAAAACTTTTATCCTTCATACATACACATTATCCTTTTTAATAAAGAATAAAAAGCATGTTACACTAATTAAGTTGAAGATTATTTTCAAAACTTATCAACATTACAATAAAGAATTCTCTCAAAAATAAAAGAACTAATAATCTTCAAGTTATTATTTTAACTTAATTGATGAATACAATAATATATTTTGAAAAAAATAATCCGAATAAGATTTATATTTGAAGAGATTTAACAGACTTAACATTTTCAATCATTCTTATTAGAATTGATGAAGATCAGTTAAAATAGAAGTTGAAGAAAAAAAACACACAATTCTGAATGACGCTTCCTTGAGCTTCATTTCAATTTCTACTAGACAATCACAGCATTGATTTATTGTAAATGAACTTCATAATTCATTGAATAGAAGAATTAAGTATAATTTAGTTGGCTTTTTAAAAGGCTGTTTATTCTCTTTTTTCTAACTACTTAAGTTTGTAAGGAATTTAAAGCTTATTTAAAATTTTGATAAACAAAATCTTTACTCTAAACGTCTAACTATCATGTAAGTTTGATGAGAGACTTATTTCCAGTAACGTCTTCATGTATTTTTTTTATGAAAGCTAATGAAGTTATTGATTATCATACTGAACTGTGTTGGCAAGTGCAGACTATCAGATCTATTCAGTCGTCGTAAGGACGTCTTCACTTATTTTATAATTGTTAGGATATTCACCAAATATCTTAAGAGGGTTATTTCTAAGTCTAATTCTATTGCTTAATCCCTATCGGTCATCCTAACCATCAATGTCACATACTTCAATGTTATTTCCTATTCAACCTAACTGTATAAATACGCATTATCTGTAACGTTTAATGACCCGGATCACTAGTCCGGGATTCTGGTTCTCTTCGGGACTCAGACCTTATACTTTCTGGATGCTTGTAGAATACAGGTTCTACTTCATATCTAGCCTTCTTCTTTTACTCAGTGAGGGTTTAGGTCGCTTGGATTAGAGTGGCGTCTCGTGTCTCCGGATCCTCGTATTCCAACTAAGGTAAACTTGTAATAGTTCAAGCATAGCAAGTGAAGTGGTCACGCGCATGCGTAACAATAATAAAAGCTAACGAAGTTATGAATAGTTAGACTGAACTGTATGTGGTAACTGCAGACTATCAGATTTGGATCTGTTCAGCTGGTATGGCACTTGTCTGGATAGTTTCATCTCTCTATGTTTATGTGATATGGTAACTTCGAACAATGCACAGATGTTCTGAGTGCTGTATCGGTTATATCAGACTGAATGATAGTGAAAAGCTGAAATACAATATCCTAGCCTTCATTTATAACTCTGACTGTAAATTTTTTAAATCATTCAAACCCTCTTTTAGATCACTGAATTACTTACTTACTTACGCCTGTTACCCCTAATGGAGCATAGGCTGTTAACTAGCATTCTTCAACCTACTCTGTCTTAGGCCTTCCTTTCCAGTTCTAACCAATCACTGTTCATTCTGCTCATGTCTGTCTCCGTTTCTTTGTGTAATATGTTCTTTGGTCTCCTTCTTCTCCTTTGACCTCAAAGATCCCAAGTAAGAGTTTGTCTTGTGGCGCGGTCAAGTGTTTTCTTCAATATGTGTCCCAACCAGCGCCACCGCTTTTTCTGAATTTATTCGTTAGCTGGATTTTTTAGATGATTTCCATTAAACAATAACTCAAATCTGATGTTTCATTCTCGATATTTCATTACAACTATAATTTAGTTAGTCATTAGGCAATTAATTTTAAAAAATCTTCATAAATCCTTTTTATGTAAATAAAAGTTTACATATAAACAAATCGAAACTCGTAAATATACTACTTTTATCATTAATCGATGTCATGTTCAAGTAGTATCATTAACACACACAAAAAAAACAAAGTGTAATGTTTCATGCGAATACTCGATTTACCGAAATGACATTTTAATTCTACCCCTATCTCTCTCTCTCACACACTATTTGTGTCTATACGCGTGGTTGTGTAATGGATGCTTCCTGCTAATTCTAGCAGTTTGTCTATGAGTAAATGTAATAAAAAAAACTCTACATCCTACTACCACCCAACATTAATAAATACACTTTGCATTTTATTGAATTATTTTCCTACATCCACAATATTTTGTGAAAAAAGTAATAAATTACTTTTACGTAACTGAAATAACGAAATAAATAAATCACAATAAGTAATAACAGGTTTTGGCACCGTGTATGTAAGCTTACTCTCCTATCTCTCACTATCTCACTCTCTCTCTCTCTCTCTCTCTCGCTCGCCCACTCTCCTTCTCACTACGTCTGCATACTTGTGATTTGTATTCTCGCCAATTTTTTTATTGGTTTATACTATTTGCTGTTTTCCGTGTGTGTATTTCACCCAGCGTTTTCTCGTCTTTTTTTTTCATTGTCTACAGTAAAAAATGGTTTATTTCAATTTTTGTGTTTTTTTTCTTGTCTATGATCGAAATTCCTTCTGTTGCCCTGTTTTCTTTTCTTATTTCAAAATAAACGTTTATTATTTTTTAAATATTCAATGCACGCTAATCTGATGTTTATCAATTATTGTTTTTACTATATATATACATATTATTCACTTCAATTTATAATTATGCATAAATATATATATATATATATATATATATGCTTGTTTATTTTCAAATAGTATCTCACTTGTAGTGATAAAACACCAGTTTTGACATCTATTTTTTGTTGTTATTGAAGTAACAAGTTGTTGAAAATGAACAAGCTCACTGTTGGTTGGTTGGCCAGAGGAGGTGATCATCATCAATAAATAGACTGGGGGTAGAGTGTTAAGGAATGTAGTGTAGAGACAAAAAGAAATCGGAATGTTTGTTGTTGTTGGTGTTGTTTAATGGGGAGAAAAGAAATAAGTTTTATTTTACTTTTATTGTTGACATTACATTTAAACTATTTTCATTATAGCAATCAATTTAGACGAGAGAAAAAAAAAACATTGATGGCGATAGTATGAAGATTAGTAATAGTGGTAGTAGTAGTAGTAGTAGTAATAGTAGGTAGTAGTAGTAGTAGTAGTAGTAGTAGTCGTAATCGTACTAATGTCAGCATTTTGCGATATAATATGCCAAACATAGTAATCTATAAAATGAAAAGACAATTATATTTATTGAAAATGTAATTTAAATAATGCATTGTTTGCGTGACAATGATCATCATAACACAATTTAAAAGTAAGGATTACACTTGATAAGAGCAGATTGAGTTTTAGTATTTTGAAAAAAAATGAAGCAGAAGAAGAAGATGAAATGAACACAAATTCTAACATTGAAGTTAAATTCGTTATCTGTGCCATCGTTTCATTTTTGTATTGTCTTGCGTAACAGTCTTGAAGTTTAAAAACTAACTTGAACAACAAGTTTCTATCTCTCCCTCTCTCTCTGGTTAAGTAAAGCGACCGAGTCAAAAAGATACAATGCAGAACGTCGTACGTAAGTACATTAGTTCAGGTTGCCATACCGGATTAGCAGAGAGACGCAACTGTCAGTTAAAATCACATAGTGGTAGAGACGGTAGAAGTAACAGCACTAGTGGAGAAGATTAGGGTTCGAAAATATGCTTCGAGAGGTATAATTCAGTGATCCAGAAGCTCAGTTAGCATATACACTAAACAGAAACCAAACCCTTCATAACAATGACTCTTTTTTATTATAAAAGTATGTGTAAGCGTTTCTATTGTCCAAATATTAGTATAAATGACTGCTATTAACCAATATCTATTGGTACTTCTGTATTCTAAACAAGTTGCAAGTTTTGATGAATTTAGATTCTCGTTATCAGTAGAATTTACAACAAGTTCCTAGTCTTATTTGAGACAACTCAAGTAATTATCCTTCCATTCACGGTAACTACCATTGTGAATGACAGTGAACTATCTGCTGTGATACTAAGTCTGTAAAACCACTAACTTTCTCAATGCGTATGAAGTTATCTTTAGGTTTACACTTTTAAATTTTTTCACACTGAATATAACGCTTCAATGATTAACGCGTCGGGTACTCGTCTTCATTTTCAGCCTGAGCAACAACAGCTGAATTCAAATAAATCCATCCTGAATAGGAAGAAATACGCTTCCTGGCTTTTGTTGTAAACCACAATCAAAATCTCATAATACATTTTGTTAAAATTTAAAGTTTATGAAGAAACTGCGTGGGGAAGAACAAAACAGTGGAATTTATTGACACAATCTATTTACTTTCAATGTATAATTAATGAGTAGGAAAAAATTGTGGCTTGATTGAATGAAAAATGATCAACAAAAATTGAGCGGAGCGATTAAAAAATTTGATGTTTACTTACGGAAATGAAAAAAAAAACGAATTTCATTATATAACGTAGCTAAGTATATAAATATATATTAGTCTTCTTCCGTCAGAAGTAGCAGTAGTAGTAGTAGCAGTAGTAGTAGTAGTAGTAGTAGTAGTAGTAGTAGTAGCAGTAGTAGTAGTAGTAGTAGTAGTAGTAGTAGTAGTAGTAGTAGTAGTAGTAGTAGTAGTAGTAGTAGTAGTAGCAGTAGTAGTAGTAGTAGTAGTAGTAGTAGTAGCAGTAGTAGTAGTAGTAGTAGCAGTAGTAGTAGTAGTAGTAGTAGTAGTAGTAGTAGTAGTAGTAGCAGTAGTAGTAGTAGTAGTAGTAGTAGTAGTAGTAGTAGTAGTAGTAGTAGTAGTAGTAGTAGTAGTAGTAGTAGTAGTAGTAGCAGTAGTAGTAGTAGTAGTAGTAGTAGTAGTAGTAGTAGTAGTAGTAGTAGTAGTAGTAGTAGTAGTACAAAAACTGTTACAAGTTACAGCTGTTTAACTTTCTCTTAACTGTAAGAAGCATCAACATTAGTTTCAAACATCAATAGTTTTATTCTAGACCTATGCTTATTTCTTCAGTGTATCCTCATAACATGGGAGAATGGGAATAAAATCCTTATCGGAAGATGTTCTTTTTTTAATTGTTGTGTAGCGAAAGCTTATGATTCTTTTTTTCAATTAGAGTTATTGAGACTAGTGTTTGTTGCACATTGAAATCATCAATCAATCATTGTTAGACCACCGTTAGAAGCCTGCAAGCACTGAAAGACAGCCGTTCCGTCCTGGTATGGGACTTATCAGCAGTGCACATCCACGACTCCTGCACCTCGCAGAATTCGAAACTAGGACCTTTGATCTTGTAAGCGAACGCCTAACCTCTGGACCAGTGAGCCGGCATCCAACGGTGTTAATGTCTAACCCTGATCTATCTACAGATTTTGCGTGACCTCACCCATGGGAGCTTATGCTATTTTGTAAATACAATGGCATAGTCAATAATATTACCATTGAGATAATTAGACTATGAAATTGTATAAACTATCCTAGATGGCTAATGATTTGTAATCATACATATAGAGGATTTCATCATTATTGATTTTTACTAGCTAAGTTGCCGTTGAATTGATAATCTAACATAAATGAACACAAGTGTATATTGTGTTCAATTTTCAATGGTTAAATTCAATCAGAAACGAAGCTTTAGATAATAATTAAGTATTTTTTTTGTTCGATCACTTGTTTTGTATATCTTTGATGAATTGAAACTAACTAAGCTTTATTTTTTTTGTTAATTCTAGATTTCAAACAAAACCTGTACCGCTTCTACGAGTCAAACCAAAAGATGAAATTATTTTTATTTGTGCACAAGAATCAATTTACATATTATGGGTAAGTGAGGGTATTTTCGTCTTTCTTTCTATGGTAATAATATGAATGGTAATTACACTCTTACTTTATTCATTTGTGCTGGTTGTTTGAATAGTGTGATTGATGTTTCAAAACTGCATTTAGATCAGTCTGTTTGAGACATGACATATTCTCTGTGGATTGTCGAGTGATTGCCTTTTTGCGTATTAAATTTATAGCCAAAATTTTCGGTATGCACTAAAGGAAACTATAGGTTAATACCAAACATTGATGACTTTGTATAACATGTAGGAGATATCAAAAAGTTCACAAATTTGAGATAAATCACTAGAGCAGTATCACGTGAACTACAAAATCTTTTTCAGATTACGAATTTAAACGGTGAATCACAAGTGTTTGAGAAAAATGCAATGATTTGTTACTGTTCTGTTTATTGATTACTCGGAAAAATAGACATATTTAAATGTACAGTATCATTGTTGCACCTAACTACAGAACATGGTCTCCTGTCACAACTTAATATATTGGAATGAATATCTACTGCGTATAACTGACAAATGTTGTAGAATTAGTCGTAGCAGCAGTAACTGTACAAAAAGTACTCTTTTCAGATTGAATAAAAAGGCCGAAAACATTATGGAGTGTAAATATTCTCTTCATGAAGCTGTACAAAAATGAACTGATCAAATCAGGATTTTTAAAAATATATATTTGGGACAACAATTGTTTTCTGTCCACTGCTTTATAAAATAGATACTTTTGACTGTATTTCCAAAGAAAAACACACTTGAAAAATTCTGATATTTTGATCGTCATGGTGACATTTAATCGATATCGATTGGATAGCTATTGAAAACCAAGAAACACTGAACATACAATCCCACTATAATAATAAAAGTGTGATCACCAATAACTAGCAAAGAAATTGGCTTATGCAAGAAATTGTGGCTCAATGGAGTCAACTATATAGGAAGTGAGACCATTGAAAAAGCTGGATAACTGAAGTTAGAAATCCAGGATACTGAATCTCACACTAATAACCTCAGGTTATCAATACAAGATATTTACGTTGAAGTCATGAATGAATCATTGTCAGATCACCGTTAGAAACGTGGGAGCACAGAGCTGCCGTTTAGTTCTGGCATGGGACTCATCAGCAGTGCATATCCACGACTAGTGCTACTTTCAGGATTCGAATCCAGGCCCTTCGGTCTTGTGCGCGAACGCCCAACCTCGTAACCCTTGAGCCGGTGCCCAACGGTGTTTATGTGTAACTCTGATCAATCTAAGGAGTTTCGCGCTAGAAGATATTCAATAATCAGTTTTTGATTGCTGATAAAATCTTCATCATATGTTGATGAGAAGACTGAAACTAAGAAAACTCCTTAATCTGTGATACTTCTCTATTTTCTACGCTTTCCATGATAAACTTTAATTTTTCTTTCAAATAACCTCCTTTAGGATTTAAAGTTTTAATTAATCATTTGAAATGTATCCAGATTTTTTTAAAAAAATATTTCTTATTTTATTTTTTTTCAAGACTTATGAATTCAAAGTATTTGAATCATGTTCAATGTGGTTAAATGACAATTTGATGGTGAATCTTTTATTAAAATGTCCGGATAAATCAAGCCGAAAATTACAAATGCGTCAAAGTACTACTATTCATCATTTATCAAAAGATAAATTTAATTTGAAAAACACTTCAAAGAATTCATTTTTTATCAATAATTATTCAAGTTTAATGAGAAATAAATCAACTGGTAAAAATAATTTTGTCCAATTAAATAATAAATATTTTGAACATTCTACAAAAATATTCAACAAACGATCATCATCATCATCATCGTCACATTTAAAGTCATTCACTTCAGCACATTCTCCATTAATGGATCGTAAGAAACATCCATCACAATTTACATTACTAGTGGAAGAATTAACATGGGCCAATGGAAATCCAAGTTTTCCTGTAAATCGTCCAGTTTATTTTCTTGGTAAGTATGAAAGTGTTTTTTTTGTTTTGTGAGAAAGTTTAAAAAAGGTTATCATTTCACTGTTATGGATGAATTGATAATACGTATGAATTGATTATAAACTATTGATCGCTAGCTAAATGAGTTTTATGATTATTAAACATGTGTTTAGATGAACTTTGATCATTTCATGTCGACAAACATTCACTTTTGAATACAACAAGTTCTATGTTGATATGATTACAGTTAACAACCTCTTATTAATTCCATGTTGACTATTCTAGTCTTTATCATTAATGAATATATATACAACGGAAAAATCTATTGTATGCAATGAATGACTTCCATTTTTAAGATAATAATCAGTATATTTTTTTAAAATTTTGTTATTAAGTAGTAGTCAGAATCATTTTTGTCCTGGACCTCAGGGCTAATCATATTCTAACAGTCAGGTCATTGTTACGCATGAACGTTAACGTGTCATTTGATATGCTTGAACTATAATAAGTTTACCTTAGTCAATAAATGAGAGCGAAGATCAAGGATCAGGCGACAAGACATGCTACTCTAATCCGAATGTCCCAAACCCCCATTGAGTAGAAGAAGAAGACTTTATATGAAGTAGAACATGTATTCTACAAGCAGCCAGAAAGTTTGAAGTCTAAGTCCAGAAGAGAATCAGTATCCCAGACTAGGGATCCTGGTCCGGGTCATTAAACGTTACAGATAATGCGTATTTATACAATTAGGTCGAATAGGAAACAACTCTGAAGTCTGTGACATTGACAGTTAAGACGACCAATAGGAAACAACATTTGAAGCGACCTTGATAGTTAGGACGGCCATAACGTTGACCAGTAGGAATTGACCAATAGAATTAGACTTACAAAAATAATTCTCTTAGGATATTTGATGAATATCCTAATAGGTATAATGTAGTTTTCAATTTGTAATTAAATATCGTGTGATATGAAGTGGTTGAATGAGATTGGAATAAATCTATGGACCTTGATTTCATGGTAGTTAACACTAGCTACTAGGGTACATTTATCCTCTTACGATTTTATATTTTTTGCGAGTGAAAGCCCAATGAATATATAAAATGACTGAGTATTATTAAAGTTAGCAAATGTATAGTTATACTATTTAAGACAGGAATTCATAAAGCACTTATGAGTTAACACCACCAGTGTCATAAATATCGATCGGATTTAAACTAAGGGAAGTTTTGAGGATTTTAAATTAGTGCATTTTGAGTTTCACGTGATTTTTATGCCAACTAAAGTAGAATTGATTTTTTTTATTGACTGACTGCATTCACGTTCACACGAATAATGTAGAATATTCGTCGTGGATATTTTGCTCCATATTTCATTTTCAATACTATTATTGATCACTATTTAGGGTAAAAAAAAACCTTGATTTACATAACTAGAAGTTCAATAATACCTAAGTATTCGACTGCTAACAATAACATGTTTGTCAATATATATAATCTGAGAAATAATTTGTACTAACCAAATTGAATAGTCTTCAACATAATTTTTCAATGTATATATATATATATTTTGGGGCACAGTTTTTGGAGGTTTGCGTTTTTACACATTTGAAATCGTCAATCGTCAAACAATGATTGATTGATGATTTCAAATGTGTAAGAACGCAAACCTCCAAAAACTGTGCCCCAAAATATCGTAACAGTGCTCACTAGTGACTAGCTCCGTGAGGAAATTCTCGGAGTTCTAGTTGAGAAGACGTGACCAATGGAGTTCAACCCTGTCGGGTGTAGGCAGTATCAACCAAAGACAAATGGGTGAGGTCGCGCAAAATCCCTAGATCAATCAGAGTTAGACATTAACACCGTTGGACTCCGGCCCAGTGGTCCGATGGTAAGGCGTTCGCCTACAATGCCAAAGGTCCCGGGTTCGAATCCTGCAAGGTGCAGGATTCGTGGATGCTCACTGCTGATGGGTAATCCCATACCAGGACGAAACGGCCGACTAGTGCTTGCGGGATTCTAACGGTGGTCTAACAATGATTGATTGGTGATTTCAAATGTATATGTATATGTATAATTTAATGAACTGTATGACTTGTAGAAATATATGATTTAGCTAGAATCCCCTCTTGAATGATTCATTTTGATTATTGCAGAAAGAAATTATCCTGAGTTTTAATTATCAAGTCAATAAAATTGAATTCACAGCATGTTGTAGCGTGATCATTGTGAAAGTCACTTTGTTTTTATAAGAAAAAAAAACCCGAAAATATTATAAAATTTATTTAGAGATTAGATTTACTGGTCAATTCTTAGATGACACTCAAAATATTCTCCATAAAATAACAAACAATTTCATGATGTCGAGACTGCTGAATTTTATTAAGATCACCACCGATCGATCATTGAAAACTGGGAGGCACCGAACAACAACTGTTTTGGCCGACTCCTCAACACTAACCACACACAACCCACTCCAGGAGATGGAACCTAAGTCCTCCGGTCTTGCATGTGAATGTTTAACTTAAGGACTACGGCTTCAGGATCCAGGAGTGGAGAAATCAAGTGTTTCAAGCTTTTCAGCGGCAATCCAACTTAGATTGGTTAATTCTATAAACTACTAGTGAGGGCCAATAGAAAGCTGAAAATTCAGTTGATTAGATCTATTCGGATGACCAATTACAACGTGACTCTTATTCTCTATGAAGACAGTTTTCATCACAGAATGAATGAAACTAGAAAACCACTAAACACTAAGTAGAATTGGGTAATTGTTTCAATGAAACTTGGAACATCTCAACGGTAAACATTCACAATTTCACTCTGAACTGAAATTGTGAACTTTTTGCCTTAGTGGAAGTATATAATATTTTAACTAGATCAGTCAGAATCCAATGATCAGTATCTCTGATTTCGTTAAATTCTCAACAGTGCCCTTCTTAAACTATAATAAGCGAGTTCTATAGTGTTCCTTGTTTTTCAATATTTATCTGCTTTGTTGTCCGTGTTACTATCTTTAAATCTCACATAATACCCTACTATAAACATCCATTTTAACCGTAATACGAACTTTTTTCCAATGTTCGTCTTGAATTATTGAAAATCCTATTTAACAAACGATAATGTAATATATATGAGATGCAGTCTATAAAAAAAATATGACCTACATAGTTGAATTTGTTCAGTTTGATGGATTGACCTTTATTTTTTAAACAAAACTCATAAAAAAAAATTAGTATACTAATCATTCAATGTCACATAATATTTGAAAATTTTAATAATTACTTCCAGTTACTCATATACAAATATTTGCAAACAGTTTATTTTTTTTGTTCTACACTTTATGTGGAATCTATTCACACTTGAATTCGATTGATTACAGCGCATCATTTAAAAAAAACAAAATGGTGAATGAATAGTTTAAATTAATTAAATGACTGTTATTTTTTTTGCGCGAAAATTAATTAACTAGGAAAAAAAACTGAGTATTTGTTCTATCAATGAATGATATAAGATGATATGAAACGTATTCGGATAACAAACTAACTATGAGTCATAAAAAATAAGAGAAATAATTTACGAAAAACAATTATATACATAATGAAAATGACAGATTAAAACAAACTGACGAATTTAAAAACGAATTACTAGCAGAAAGAAATCATTAAGTACGGAAGGTAAAAACAAGCTGCAACAAAGGAGAAAAATATATATGAACATATTGAAATAAGCGAATAAAAACACAATGGAAAGTTATACGTGGTATGTAGAATAGAAACGACCATGTAAAAAAAATAGGTAACAATCACACAAGGTAAAAAAAAGTGAAAATTTGAAATTCAACGGAAAAAAATGGAAGAACATGCAGAAAGAAAGCAGAATGCAGAAGCAGTTTGAAAAAAGATCGAAAACAGGGAACAAAGAAAACAGCAGAAGGAATAGATAAAGAGGTAACGAAAAAAAATTGGTCAAAATTATGAAAAAATAGGAATTAAAGTAATAAGGCCTATGGAATAAACACGTGTGCAAAAGCAAAGACAAAAATTCAGAAAAAAAAATTACAAGAAGAATAAAAATTAGATGGAATAGAAATAAGATATCCAAAGGAGGACAAATAAAGGAAAGGCGGATGAAAAATGATACAAACAGAAAAAAATTAACATAATATGTAACGATCAGCATGAAGAATAAATAAAATCGGAAAGGAATATAAAACGATATATAAGAGCGTATTTATTTACAAATTCAACGGATCACTGATAGCAGAGAACAAACAAGTGTACTGTGGATGAGTATCCGAGACGGTTCGGTCACGCCGGAGCACCCGAATCTCACAACAACTTCATGGTTGAGCTTCGGTCAACCATATCGACTTGGTGACGACCCGCACTCCACACAGATCAACCGAATCCATAGCTCTTAACTCGAACTACCCAGTGGATATGAAGTCGATGACACATTATCTCGACAAGTGGCGACGCGACTTCCGACGAAATATCACAATGAAGATTGACCGGTGAAGAGGTGTCACATGATGTGTGTGTTAGTGTGTATGAAATTATGCATGAGAGCGAGCTTGCCTTGACAACAGTTGGTGCTCGACCGAGACGACGGTCGTCAGAGTGTGGACGAACGACACCCGAGACGCCCACCACGTGTCGGTCACGGAGTGTAGCGTGTGTGTCGGGCGAATGTTGTGGTTGTGCAGTGAGTGGGTGGAGAGAGGTGTTTGGCAGTGGTGGTCGTTGGTGGAGTGTGGGCTTAGTGGTGGCCAGGATGGTGGGACTAAAAGCCGACCCCGACGGGACTCGAACCCGCAATCTTCTGATCCGAAGTCAGATGCCTTATCCATTAGGCCACGGAGCCCACGATCTCCGACCCATCGTCTCACCTCACATCAACCCTACACATCGACTCACACCACACAGACAGAAGCATACACACACGCACACACACACACACACCAACGCTAACACACTGTCGCTCATCAAACAATAATCACTGTCTCAACCATCGCATCAGT